TACCTTCAGCTTGATTATAAAGGTGAAAATATTGCAGCGATGATCAACAGAAGGCTGAGTACATCACTAGCCATAGCGTATCCTGCAGCTAAGCTCGTTCCCGTCTATCGAACAACTTGCTCTTTGGTGCAATCAAAAATCGATAGATATCCTTCTCATGTTACCTCCAACTGTGTATACAAATTTACATGTATCTGCGGGAGCAGTTACATTGGAAGGACAGAAAGAAGGGCATATCTACCATTTTCTGAGCATGTACCAAAAAGCTTACGTCTAAAGGGAACAAATGCTTTAAACAGTTCCATCACCAGGCATCTTCTCGACACGGGTCATGAGGTGGACGTTGAAAAGTCGTTCAAAATTATCAATAAGCAAAATAGCTCAATTCTCCTTAAGTTTGCTGAAGCCATTTCCATCAAGCGCCTGAAACCTGATTTATGCGTTCAGAAAGAAGCGGTTATCAGCCTTTCTTTGCCCTGGTAACTGGATAATTTCACTTCTCTTTCCTCCGAATATGAAATTCTAAAAGTTTCCATTGTGATTGATTATTATTGTTCGGAATAGTGGTTAATATTGCATATTTATATATGTATATATTTTTAGTGTATGAGTATATTGATCGATTGATTTTTGTTTAAACTTAACTCTGTGCAAGTATGTTAAAATTGTTGTTGTAGATATATTTAATAATGTCTTTGCCATGTAAGCAGCTGACGAGAAGGCAACGAAATAAGCGATGGTACCATTTTATTCTCCTAAAACTGTAGTTCTTGCTTTGTTCAAATTCATTAAGGGGAATAAATGTATGGAATTCAGAAATAATATTAGTTTTATCAATCAAATACTATGAGATGGGAAATAAGACATTTTTATAGTCAAAAAAAGTAACTTGCTTGTTATAATGTATGTGAAGTGAAATAGAATTAAGATTATTTATTATCCTCCTGTGGTATGACTAGTGGTAATAATATCCTCCATATCTTTGGTATTTGCGTTGAGTCACTTCTGTAGCATGTGTTGGATGTAGACTTGATGGATAAGGTAGGATTCAGTAATCAATCTCTCTCAGTATATTACTTTTTAGAATTTTAACTCTGTCCTAGCCTATTGTGTGGCTGTGTGTGCATGCAGTACAATTGCTGCGCTTTTTTCTTTTGTGTGACAACCACTTTCCCTAGTTAAGATAATATACATATCTGCGTGAAGGTATGTGTCTCCTAACTTAAGTGGTAAGCAATGCGAGTCGAGTTCCTTCGTTGTGCGTTGTATCGTGTTAGTCATATGTATTACTTGGTTACTCCATAACAAATGTGAAATGAATTTCTCATCGGAAATTCTCCTTGAATGATATAACTGTCTCTCTGAATGACTTTGATTGTGATTAATTGTTAAATTATATTAGTATAATTTGTCGAATTGACCTCGAGTTTGATTTTTAATCTGTCAATATATCGACTGAGTGAAGATTGATCTGCCTATCAGCTTTCTGGAGGAACTGTGTGTGAGTGTTAGTATTTCCGCTGTTTGAGATTTTCACACCTTTCCGGATGAAATTGGTGTGAATATTCATAGCTGTTGTCTACATGTACTCTGTTTTTATGTCATCAGAATGTATACCTTTGTTAAACTTGTATGAGAGGTTCTTTTGTTGTGGTATGTGAATTTTCATCTTGTGTCACCGGAATCAGAAACTTTGTGAGTGTAGTTGTTGTGTCGTGGCGTGTGATACTGATATGATCTGTCAGTAGTATGTGAAGAGACGTTGGCTGGCATAAAAATATCAAGAGTAGTGGAGATATAGATTTGACGTGAAAGAGGACAAATGAACCACCGTTGCAGTGAAACATAAGAGACACATGGTGACAAGTAGGACAACACGAAAGATCTGTAAAAATGACGATTTTCAGATAAGGTGTAGATAATCTCGCTTTGTTTTTTTTCCTTCACGTTCCCCAGTGGGACGTAGGGCTTCAAGCAGCTAGTGGCTTGAAGTTTATGTAGCAGTGTTTGTTTTTACAGGTATAGAGTTACGAAATTCCAAATAAAGATTCGTTTTCCAAGTCTCTTGTCTTCTACCGTTACAATTCCATGTGGTATTCGTTTTCTTTACGTTTAGGATCCTTACTCTGATTTGTTGGGAAACTTGATAAGTAACTATTCACATAATTTCTTTTGATCCTAAAACTAACTCGAATCGACCATAAATCTGATGGAGGGTTATTTTCCTTTACAGTTGTATTCCCTCTTTCTCTGTCTTTCTGATAAAATTAAAAACAGATACTAGATAGATACTATACTATACTAGATTCAACCTTATTGATAATTCTATTTTATATAAATTATGTAGGCTTATGCTTACACAGGCGGAATATACAAAAGTAATAGTATCAGATAAATGTTTTATAGAAAATAGCTACTAATTGTGGTTGTAGGCTACTTGACAGATAATGGATATTTGAGTGATTGGCTTTCACGTTTAACTTTGTTGTAGATATAGATTGAAGTTTTGAAATATGTTTCATGTACCACAGTTAAATGATGGACGGGTAGGTGTCAGAAAATAGATTCGGTTGACAACTTGATAAATCAAAAATATCATCTGGTTAACGAAGTTTTAACGATGTAGTGTAAGATATGTATATGTTTGTACTTAAGTATTGAATTAACTAAATCCTTTTGTTTCCTGACCATCGATTCTGTGATAGTTGTCAGCTAATTTTTTTCGGATGAATGCTGTGTTGTATTCATTATAATAGAGGTTTTCATATTTCCCAATGAATGAAATACAAAACGATATTGTTTTTACTGACATTTCGCTATTTAATGCTAATAGCTTTCTCAAAGTATTATTAAACCGGAATTTACAAAATCTCAGCATATATATATCGTTTTGTTTTTCATTCATTGAGGAATACAAAAACCTCTATTAGAATGAATATCATATACCCAATGCCCAAATTTTTTCAAACCGGTAAAAGTGAACTTGGTTTGGACATATATAAGCTGTGTTGTATTGTTGTTATTCATTCTCATTGACTTCTACACCAAAGTGTTAGATGTCTTCGCTACTCTTGAAGGTCTTATATACCCAAATATTTTCACGAAAATCTATCGTTGATGAACCGAAGTAAAAATTCACGGACCATTGGATTACCGTTCGAGTGACTTAGTGGTTGACTGACTCGCTTTGTAACCTGAAGGTCCTCGGTGTATGTCCTGGTGAAGAGTTTCAGATTAGGTCGAACCAACTGTCCAGTACTCCCTTGTTTTCAGAGGTTGGCTAAGTGATATCACTCGATGATGTAACTTGCAATCAATCAAATTTTTGCATACCAACACGTAGAAACATTTTCTGTTATCAATAATGAATACAAATGTCAATCCTAGTAACGAGTGAATCATTTGTTTGTTCGAACTGGCCTTCATATTGGCTGTAGACAAAAGGCTATTAATGCTTAATCGTGTACTGGTTGGCTGAAAATTGGAGAAATACGATCAAAAGTGTTGTTGTACAATATATTAACGTTTATTTACGGACTTTGGCTCTGAGTAACCGTTAAAATGAAAAAGTAATGGTGAAACTAATAATGATAACATAAATAAGAGAGAACATAAGGGATCTACAGTTATAGGATATAAGGAGGGGACATCTGAAACCCTCCCTACGTAGGATTCTCAATAAATCAAGAATTGGGGTGGTATTTAAACCTACAAACTCACTCAGTCAGGGACAAGCTCTGAAGGTTAAAGGACCTTGTAGGTGGACCCGATCAGACAAAATAATATAATTTACAAAATAACTTGCAATGACTGTAAGTGTCGTCAACTACAATGGTCAAACTAGTAGATCACGAGCAGTGAGATTATCAGAACATAAGAATTTGGCTAAGGTTGGAATGTTTGATCCCACACGTGAATATAAGTAATTTAGAAAAAAAGTCAGCAGCAATTGTACTGCATGCATTAACACAACCACACGATAGGGGGGAGAGGGTGAAAATTCTAAGACGGAATATAATTAGGTGAAGAGAGAGGTAGTTGATGACTGAATCCTGGTTTATATATATATATATATATATATATATATATATATATATATATAATTTCCAATCGTATAATGAAGGCTAGGGTGGCATACATCAACTTCAGCCAGCTCTGGCGCCGTCGCAACGCTAACCTGGCTGTCAAAGGTCAGGTATACAATGCTTCGGTGCGGGCTGCCCTGCTCTACGTCTGTTAAACCTGGCCTCTCCGAGTAGGCTGAGGATGTGAGGCGACTCTGCGTGTTCGATCATCGCTGTCTCCGCAGGATTGCTTGTGTTTGATGGCATCATTGCGTGAGTAATTCTGAGGTTCGGCGGCGTGTATTTGAACACAGTGGAGATCACCATTCATTGAGTGTCGTCATCTGGAATCACTGGCTCCGGTGGCTTGGTTATGTGCTGCGAATGTCATCCCAGAGGCTTCCGTACAGGTCTCTGTTCGCTAGCTCTGGGACGGGATGGAAAAGGCGGAGGAGTGGTCAGTCCATGACGTGGCGTCGTGGGATGAAGGATTTTTGTGCTAGATTATCATCGATTGGCGCGTCAGGACTCCTTGGTTGGGGTCCACGAGATAGCTCGAATCGATGTCTCGAAACGTTATCGGATATGGCCAAGAATCGTAATCCATGGCGAACAAGTTGCAACTTCCTTCTTTCTTCCCTTCCTGATGATAGTTAACGAACACTGTGTGAACTTGTTAAGCATAACTGTTTTCCTTCCAGATGAATTTCTTTATCCGCTCTCTACTTATATTTTTTAAACGTTTCATCTGTGTTGTTTTATTATTATTGTGTGGCGCATCTTTCTTGGTGCCATATTGTACCAAGTTTTTTCTGCGTTAAAAAAAAAATAATATATGTACATGTATATTCATTTTATTAAAAGATAAAAAGGAAGTTGAAATATTCTTTTATTATCATCATCATCTATTTTTGTTGTTTTGTTTTTTCATTTTAGATCTTGAACAAACATTGAAACACAGTCTCCCTGGTTGTTTAATATTAATCGATATGTTTTTAACAAGTATACCATTGTATTTATGTCATGCCTTCTATCCTGTTATTGTTTATCTGCTTTATTTAGCTATATCAACATTAGGATTATATTTAGCTTATACATTTGGTAATTTAGATAAAACAATCGACTCACCATCAAATCCAACTGTATTAATCGGTGGACATGCTTTGTTAGCTAATGGTTATCAAGATTTTACAAATATCCCGCGTATATTTATTGTATTATTCGGGGCTATCTCTATCGGTATAATGATACATTGTGTCCTGTTAACCTTGTGTATAACACGTGATTTCTTAGCAAGTCTATGTCAACAGAGTACCAGCATGTGGTTAGGCGAAGACGAAGATGATCCATATTTAATTGATAATAGTACAATGGATTTAATGAGTAGACAGTCATCAACATCACTTGTTGTCAATACGAATAATAACAATAATAATCATAGTGATAATGAAAAACGCAAATGACTAGTTCATGTATGATGGTGATCCTGATAAAAAGATCTCAACGGCGTGTATTCCAGCAGCAGTAGTTTGATGTATAACTATAAAACCTGTCGCTTCATCTGTCAATGTGCTTTCAACTGCTTTTATCTTTCTTGTCGACAATAACGATGTTAGTGATGTGATCCTTATGAACTTCTTCATAAATTAAATTGCATTCCATGAATACATACATATATACGTGTGTATTTTATCTCATAATTAAAACAAATAGAGATGTGTGAATTTTATAATTTTTAACTTCTTTCCAAAGTTCTATTTGTCATTTTTTATTATTATTATTTTTAGCTTGTCATTTTATTTCATGTTTTACACTTTTGTTTGTTTGTTTTTTCAGTTTTATTTCGTCTTTTTTTAAATTTGTCATTGAACTTTGAACTCTTCATTATTCGCGGAATTTCTCCGTTCGTAGAAACAATAAATACAACTGAAATTGGGATTTTTATTTGTTATCGTATTTACATATATATACATGTAAGATCTCTTATCGACTACTGTTATAAGTGTCGTTTTTCTTATATTTCAATTTTAAATCATGATTTACTGTACAGTTTTTCACAAGATCTAACTATGTCTGCTATGTGATATGATAAAGAAAAGAAAAAAATAATTGAAAATGTGATATTGATGACTGCTCATTTTTGAAATTTCTATTCATTTTTCAGTATATTCGGATTGTGGACACCAGTGACCAGTGTGTTTGGCGCAGACTTAATTTTGTCAGTCAAGTTTGCAATGTGGCTGCTATGCCTGGGTGGTTCGGCATCACGCGGTGCACTCTGATGTTTTGTTAGATGATTGGACGAGATCGTCAGGAAGTCTTGAGACGTGCGTTTTGGGCTTGTTGGCACTTGTTAGCAGGGTGTACCTTCAATCTTGAAGGAATTTATGTCCCTCCTGAGAGTCGATCCCGGATCTTTCAGTGCTACAGTCTAAAACGTTCCCACTGTGGCATATATATATATATATATAGGTCTTCTGATATGTGTTGTATTGTAACGACGGAAGACAAAGGCAAGGAAACAGATCGTTTATTGCGAAAATCAAGAAATATTTATAGAATTTTAAGTACATTATTGTCAGCGGAGAAGCAATGTTTTCTGATTGGTTATTTTCTCGCTGAGGGTTATTCTTTTGTGCTTGTGACCATTTCTCAGAAAATTAAGCCATACATCTGCGATTCGTATTTGCACATGTTAATTCTGATGTCATTGGTTGGTGAGTTCCTCAAGGTTAAGCTTTGTTATTGTTTCCTCCGTAACCCCGATACAGGACATAAATTGCTGTCTAGATATCCGGATGGTCGCAGCCAGCTCTCTCACTAGATTATAAGTGTATTACAGACGAAAATCTGTGATCGCTACGTGTGAATAATACAATATTGTACAGCTGAGAAAATGAATTCGCCGAAAAGAGACTCTTTGCTGAACTACGTGTTTTGTTTTCATTGACACAATATTAATATTAATCATAGTTAAGAGATAGTCCTGTTCACTAAGTCGATTATTCATAATGAATGTGGTGTAATATATTGGTGCAGTTGTGTTTTCTAAGCTAGACGGTTTAATTACGAAGCTCTCATTGTCTTTCTTGGAAGCATATTCAGCACTAACAACAAGTTGAAGGAAACATTTAGGATTCTCTATGTACTATTGTTGACTGTCTCTCCTGGTAACACTGAAGATGGTTGGTTGTTTCTTGAGATTTTCTGGAATTCTTGTTCATTTGTATTGCTATCGACTATTTTAGAAACTTTACTGTGCAGAAAATCAGCGCATATACCTTGTGCACTCAATTACAATGGCATACAAAAGGAGTTGTATACAAACATTATTCAAAAGAGTCAGGACAAATTGCAGAACTCCTGCCTTTGGGAGATTTATCTTTTCCACGTCTTCCAGAAATGTGGATATCCATTAAATCTCATCAAAAGATGCCTACCGTCAACCGAACCGACTGACAAATTCAAAATCACTCACTGAAAGTACAAAGAAATTGTCCTACTATATAAGGAGAACATCTCTGAAGTCACTGCAAGACTACTGAAACTTTTTAGAGTAGGTGTCACTCACAAACCAACAAAACAATCACTTGAACATAAACTATGTAATCTGAAAGACTCAACAGCAAAAGATTACAAAACTAACATTATCTACACGAAAAGTTACAACATTTTTGAAAAAAAAAACAATATTATGTTGATCAAAGTAGACGTCCTCTTCGTCTTCGCATACATCAACATAAACTGGTTGCTAAAAGACATGATATCCATTCCCCGATATCAGTGTATAAGGACAACTGCGGATACCAATTGGACTGGGGAAATGTACTCACCTTATAGAAACGAAGTACCAAAACTGCCATGGAACTCTTAGAAGCCTTGCAATCGGGTAAATTTACAATCCACGGATAGATTGACATAGATCAAACGCACACCTGATATGTATGGTCGGCCTGCAAAATTTGGGCTACCGATATCCATGCTGAAAATTCCATACTTGTACCAAAAATGCGGTGTGGAATCAAGCTGTAATCGAAAATAAAAAATCGAAAAATCATATGAAAAAAAAGTTAACTATCAAGTCAACAAAACAGTGAATTCCAATAAACATCGACTGGAGGGTGTGAAAATTTCCGGAACCAGCTGGTCACGACCAAGATCACCAAGGGAGACGGTGAATAATAATATATGGAGAATTCTTAAGGCGCTCACTCTATCTCGTGATTAGCGCCAAAGATGTATAGAAAGATAATGAAAGTTTCACAATTAAACCATCAAGCCTAGGGAACTCAACTACAGTTCCGATGTCACCCGCCTGAGCCATAAATCTTCTGCATCATTTTTAAAGTTTAATATATCAGCGTACGTTTGCTCAATTGAATCTGATAGACAGATACATATAGTTTATTATAACTGATCGTATTATCGGTTAGCGACAGATTTTCATCATCACAGTTTCTTATAAGTGGAGCGAAGAACTTGGAGCCTTGAGGTTTTAGTAGCTCTTGTGCTTTTTTATGAAGCAGGGTTGTCAGCCTCAGAATTAACCTCCCCTCTTTTTCTGGTTGACTACCAGCCAGGCAAGGTTTAGTAGTGAGCTGGCCGGGGAGCGAACTTGGCCTTGTTTTCAAGCTGTTACACTTTGGGATACATAAGAAAAATGTATTGAACAAAAATATGATGTTAAAGTTAGGAGAATAATGAAATAATCATGAAAGATAACAAAAAGTGTGTACATATTTGCCGGTAAACCATTTCAGGCTATGTTATCAAAATCTCCTTACTCTGTTGATACTTGATATCTTGAAGTGCTCATTTGGGTGTTACATGCTACCGTTTACGATTCAAACTAACAGTGGGAAATCATGAAATTGTAATATATTTGCACTTGACTGTTCCCCTTCGGAAAACTAGTGGTTGTGTACTTATATCAGATATTATCAACGTGGTTCAGATCATCAAATTTCATATGTAAACATCAATTATAAAAGCAGGAAAAGGTAATGAAACGATATAATTTGAAGTGATAGAATGTCTGTTAACCGAAATCAAAAAAACATGAAGTAAATAAAAAAAATACAACATATGAGAATTAAAATGAAAATAAGGCAATAATTCATATGAACCAGTCCAATTTATATTTAGCCATAGGACTTAAGTACGTCGGTGGCACAGCGGTTAGGACGCTTGCCGACTATGCATATGGTCCGGGGTTCGATCCCCGGCCACCGAGGTACTGCTTTACCTCGCTAAGCCAGAAATAATGCTGGTAAAGAGGTAAGGTTGGGCATGAGGCTAGCAACTCTATCCTGTAAAATTAAACACTGCTACAGAAACTTCAAGCCAATAGCTTGGAGCCCTATGTTCCACTGGGAACGTGAAAGAAAAAAACCACTTAAAATCTCTAAGCGTAAATTCCAGTGGTTATGTAGGCTACAGGCAGTGGCACACCCTATCCGAATAGATGCTTGCAATTTTTCCACCTGATCTGTATTCATATTGTTAATTTGCATATAATTCATTCGCCTTGACCTCAAATGAGAAAATACATTTTCATCATATCGATACAATGGAATACTCTAGTTTGTGTGAAGTAATAAGAATGGTATAACAGTGATAAGTAAGCATTTACAGCTCCTCTGAGTTGTAGATGAATTTTATTCTGTTGAAAGTTATCATTTGGACCTAACAATCTTTCTACAGTACTTTGAAACTTGACTTCAAATATTTTACTTATTTGTTATTCGGACACATGATATATACTTAACTGGTGGATGGTAACTAGCGTTGGAATCCAGGATGCGCATTTCATCCTATTTGGGACTCGTCATCTGGATGTACTTGCATTTCTCGGTGAGTGATGATTTTCCCACCACCGGGGCTCGAACCCAGTGCCCATAGTTTCAAACACCAAAGCGTTATCCACTAGACCACTTGGGCCACGAGAGCCACTGCCTCTTGTGCAATGGGTCATGTTAATTATTAAACTGAATTTTAGATTTTCCCGTCGATTGATTGGACTGAAATGCTCGGTCTCAGGTTGAAATGTAACGCTTCAGCGTTTGAAACTATGGGCACTGGATTCGAGCCTTGGTGGTGAGAACACCATCACTCACTGAGAAATGCAGGTACATATAGTTGACGAGTCCCAAACAGGACGAAGTGCACATCCTGGATTCCACTGCTATTCACCATCCACCAATTAAATACTAATTAAATGCTCAGACATCTTCGAAGTATCTGCACACGAAGCCGACATGTCAACCTGAGACCGTGCACTTTGGTCCAATCAATCGACGGGAAAATTTAAAATTCAATTAAACATGATATGTACGACTGTAAACTATTGTATTTGACTTGAGAAAGGAATCAAGTATTCAGACCTTGTTTCGTTATTATTCACAATCATTAACATTGTGTATTTGCAATCTTAGTGAAAGTTATATTCTTTTGAAGCATCAGG